TTTTAAATTCTGTTCTTTCTTTTGAATTTCAGGAAATCATTAAGAAGTATGCTTTAAAAGGTTTATTAATTTGATATTGATTGTTTCATTTACATGGAGAGGGATTTCACGCCCTTCTAAAATTGAAAGAGTAATATCCCCTCAAATCCTTGTAAGCCTATAAACCCCAGAGAAAGAATTTTTCCTGATAGAGTTGTAGCACCTCCAGTGCCTATTTTTTCTCTGTCACATCTTGTTAATCTCATCCATATATGGGCATCTAATCAGTGGGACCTTACTGAGTGAACTTCATAATTAAAGAATGTATTATTATTATGACTTTAATTATATAACTATGTAACTTTGTTTTAATTAAAAATACCCATCCCCAACGGGAGCACAGTTTGGCTTTTGTGTGCAAGGGTGTAAAAGCAATTTCTTACCCTGCACTAGCATGATTATTCTACAGTTCACCAACTCAGATTTCAGGAAGTATTCCACGACCTTGAAAATAAGTGAATGACAGTGATGGTCTTGTCTACCTATCACAGCATGCAAATTGCAAAATTGTATGCTCCATTACTGCTTGTAGTTTCCTCCAATCTCCACACAGCATTTCACATACTATGTCAAGGCATAAAAAGAACTCATGGCCACTAATCTGGGGGTTAATAGCAGCCTTTTATAAAGGGTGGTGAGGGTGAACGTCCTTTTTGCAAAGAGAGGGTCAATGTCCAGAGATTATTAAGATGTGTTGCCAAGAAATAATGGGGTTCCAGCACATTACATACACCTCTCTATGTCATTAGGTTTTGTCAGGCATAAAAACACTCATTTTGCTAATATGGACAAACCATTCTTCATTGGCATGGTAATGATTGGGGAACTGAGAGCAGTCCAATCAAGTCATCACTATGTCATGGATGACCAGGCTCATCTGCTATACCACCATAGATGGCACTGTTGTACTGCTGACATGCTGACTGACAACACGCTGATGTGGAGCACAGATTGTGGTGTCACTCCAGATTTGTATATTTGCTGAGAAGCTGTGGTGCTGTGTGGATTAGCAGTTAAAGAATAAATATTGAAAAGCTTTCAAACAAATAAAACTTTCTGCTCGTTTATCTATTCACTTTGGTTATGTGTAAGATACCAAATTCATTTTGTTACAGTAATAAGTAGTGAAAGAACATGTAATGATTTAATATGATGTAAATATAAGGTACACACTTGGAATGCTTGGATGTTTGGCCAATGGGGAAAAAGACAATAACGTAAAATTCAAATGAGAGGGACTGAGGCACTTTGTGATTTGAGTGCTTATTTGCTGTGAATTATACATTGAAACATGAGGTGTCATTAACCTTGACAAGCCTATTTTTGCCCTGTTATTCCAAGTTAAACATAGTTATGTATGCCTTTATTATAGTATGCGGCATGGGTTGATTGTCAATTCAATCCCTCCTTCTGAGATTTCACTTGTTGAATATACTCATTATTGTGAGATTATGAAAGATCAGCAAAATCAAAAAATGCAATTAAAAAGAGAGTTTGAATTGTTTCCAAATAAAGCATATCAATAATGATTTGTATAATTACATATTTATCTGAAATGGATTTTGAATCTTCAAAATGGTAAATATGTCCTTCTGTGGGTGTTAGGTTGCATCACTATGAGTTTCAAAAGGATATAAAGCACTTCAACAAGCTAGCTATTGAGGTTAACAGACTAGACATTGCAGGCCACACAGACCTTCGCCAGGGCTGTGTGCCTGTCTAGTGGGTCTCCCGTTAACATAGTCATGTTTTAAAGAGCCTGGCTCCAAGGGACAGAAATGCTTTTCTCATCAAATTTTGAATCCTTTGCTGAAAACAAAATCCAGAACACCTGGCTCTGAACTAACCCTAACCCTCATTTTGTTCTCCTCATTAGTTTGTAACAAAAAAACAAATCTTATTCATTATATTCAATGATGGCAACAATGGCATTTTAGTTTGGAAACAAAATAAAATAAGAACTGTAAATAGAATATTGATGTAACTATATTCTGAATTATGAAATGAAAACATAGAGCAACCATCCTTCACTGTCTGGGTGATAAGGATTACCTTTTTGCTCCAGCCATAACATGCATGTAAAGCAGTCGACTCGACTCCAGTGCTTTGACTCTTTTCAGAGTGTCTCTCTCCTCTGATGTGCACGATCACACAGAAGTGTGATGTGTTGGGAGATCAAGGACGCTCATACACTGTGAGACGGGCCTCATTAAGGCCAGAAAGTTCTAGTTTGGAGACGTTATCTATGCCATATATATATATATATATATATACATGTGGGGCAAAGCACCAAACTGTAAACATCAAAGTGACCATGGACTTATGTTCTCTGCTATGATTAAGACATTTGTGAATACATAGTTTACTTTGCAGAAACAAAAATCTTTTAACCTATTAAGTTTGGTTTATCCAGTTTTACCAGTTCATATAACCTAGTTAATAAAATTGAAATGCATGACCACACTGCTACACACTGTCATGTAGGCAATGTGAGTGGAGACTGTAACCTTAATGGCCTATTCTTGAAATATCATTAAAAACACATCACGGAACTGAATTACTTCCAAGCGCCAGAGAGCTAAACCCTTTCAGCCAGACTTCACATTGTTTATATTGTCTAAATGCTTTCAACATATAATAATAACCACATTTCTGGCTGTGGCTGTGTAGTCTATTTCTTAAGGATATTTCTTTTCAGCTTGATAAGCAACAGAAAATTGGAAGAAAAAAAACTGAGTTTGCTTACAACTTGTCATAGCTAATGGTATACTTTATGTTTTATGTAGCCTAAGAAAAGAAGAAGGATTTTGATACAGATGCCATGTTGCTTCGTCCCCAAATAAACTGAAGAATTTTTATTACTTAATCCAAATTAATATGGCTGGACATGTCTCTTGATCATTTTCACTCACAAGGGAAATTTAAATTATATTATTTCCATTATAACATTAGAGATTAGTACATTATGTACTTGATAAAAGAAAATTTTAAATTTTATAGGTCACTCCAGGCTACCATCTTTTTTCGGATCAAGAAAAGAGAGTTTTAACAATAGACTGTATATAAAAAGGTTGTAACATGAGAAGAGTTCAATCGCAAAACGGTTTGCAACGGTTTCAGGATTGAGCGACATGTTTTCTTGAAACGTTGTGCAACGTTGTGCAAAGGGCTTCGAGGTACGTTTTCTTCCGTTTGGTGGGCGTGTCACAGGTGTTACCCAATCAACTTCGACAAGTTTGTAAACACATCCATGTTAGAAAGGCAGGAAAATGCAGTGCGCTTGCGTACACAACAGTATGTTCAAGGCACCACCGAGCTCACAGGTCTGCATCAAATTAACATGCCAAGCCAAGATGCTATGTCTCAGCTGACATGGACCTGACCGGAGTTGCCAGAGATTAACATGTTTTCTGCGATGCTTCAGAGAAAGCCTATGGCTCAGTGGCTTATCTGAGGTCTGAGGACACCCAAGCTAACATTGAGGTCACTTTTGTCATGGCCAGTTCGCGAGTCGCCCCCAAGAAGCAGCAATCTGTGCCAAGATTAGACCTTTGTGCTGCAGTAACAGGCGCTCAGCTTGCTAAGCTTTTCAGGAATGGGCTTACTTTACCCATCACCAAACAACATACTGGACCGACTCCACTACCGTACTCAACTGGCTCCAGTTGGAGTCATGTAGATTCAAGGTCTTTGTGGGCGCAAGGGTTGCAGAGATCCAAGAGTTAACAGATCTACAGGCCTGGAGGTACGTGAATTGTGCCTACAATCCTGCAGATGACCTCACTAGAGGTAAGACCCTGTCAGATTTGGCCCAGCCTAATCGATGGAGCCAAGGTACCTGCATTTTTGCGGCGACCACCCAGTGAATGGCCAATCAAACCAACTTCCTGTCTTTCAGATGATACTGCTGAGCTCAAAAGATCTGTCTTATGTTGCATTACCACAGTGGGCGTTAACACAACAGTGCCTGACACGGCCCCGTTCAGTACTTGGAGTGAGCTACTGGATGCAATTGCACAGGGATTGCACGGGGCGGCTGGCACGGGGCGGCTTCCCCAAGTGACTTAGCACAGTTCTGAAAATATTAATCGAACAGATTAGACATAGTTTAGGCTACTCATGGACCTGTGATTGTAAAGTGACAGTCCGACTCAGTAAGCCTATGGCTATTAATGATTTTTTTTGCAGTGGAAAATGTGTCTAGTTTTAGACGTCTTTGTTACATAAATAAAATCTTGCTCATTTCGTATTTTATGAAATGCTGTCAAAACACAGACTATCAGCAGATAATGAAAAACTCACTATTAAACTACATTTATTTGTTTTAGCTGCACCACAGTCATCCTCACTCAGAAATATTCACATCATATCCACATGATTACTATGATAGGAATGTTCAATCTGTGCGACTACAATATGAAAGGTTACTATTCAATGATCAGTTTTATACAGATTAGTTTAAACAGTAGCAGCACTGTAGCGCACCGTAATTGTTTTTGTGCTGTTGCCAACCTGACAGCTGCTTTAATGTCCACAGAGTCACTGTGTTATAAAGGACAGTGTAGCTTACAGATTTTATTCTGTGCTGAGGATAAATTTACGATGTCCAAAGATAACTCTGTCCATACATCGATGATAGAATGGTCATAAAAGCGTCATGTTCAAGATCATGTTGGGGTAAAAAAATAATAATTGCCTATCTAACCGCGATTTCGATGTTTCTAAAGACGTAACTGTGTTCCAGTATGTGCTTTGATATCGACAGTATGAATGAGGAAATGTCACACGGCTGCTTGAGGCTCCGCAGGAGGGGATGAGTCAGAGAGAAACTCAGCGTTTGTTGAAGTAGGTTAGGTTCACAGCGTAACTTGCCGGGGTTACAGACCTAGAGTTTATCTGATCTCGCTCTCTGAAACCAAAAACCCAGAGTTTCCCTCATCTCGGGCTAATCTTACTCAGAGTTTTCACTAAACCCGCTTTCTGAAACAGGCCTCAGGTGTCATTCAAATGAGAGTTGTGAAAGTCTGGCAGAAAAACAATGACGTGTAAGTAACTGACAGTGGCTAGCATAGCTACGCTAGGTAACGTTATTGCATCTTTGCTAACTCCCTGAAACAACACAATAACGTATTTCACTGTGGCCTTGGTCATATTTGAATAATAAATGTTATCTTGTAACGTTAGCAGTGCAGCTTACAACATTGTCAACGGTTGCTTTGTTGTTTAACGTTAGCTAAGCCTTTACTTGGCTTGTAAAATGTAAAGTCTTTTCAAACATTTTTCTACAAGCTAAAGATGCGGTGATGTGCAAAAACACTAAATACATTTTAGCTTAGGCACTGACTTACTAACATATAATACAATATGTGTGTTTTCAGTTCCTTTACTATATGGAAGTCATGGCTGACTTCAGGTCTTGGACACCAGGTCATGTTGCCAGAAGATATGAAACTTCTTCTCTTGGGTGAGTTTCTGGCTTGCAAATACATGTGCAATACAAGGCCTGTAATCAGCTTCCTTTCCCAAATATCTTATGCTCATCTCATACTTTTACCTACGTGGTTTAGTTACATAACTCTGTGAATGAGTTGGGCACTGTGGCTGTGTACAAAAGTATAATTAATGTCTGGTTTCATTTTAAATTGTATTAATTCTGTTTATTTGACAATAATTGTCTTCGGTGGGATTTAATTGAAATATTTAACATGAAATGTCAATTTTAGAATATATTTTGCTAAGCCATGTTCATTCTCTACATCAAATTGCTTAATCTTTCTATTCGAGCCTGCTCACAACTGTCAATCTTGTTCCCTAAAGTCAATTACTTTCATTAAAAACGATACTAAACTGCATTTGAGGTAGCTGTAAGATATCACATCCAGATCTTGTCATATCACTTATGATCCCAGTGAAGATGCAACAAAGCCATTTAAGAGAGGATGACTGAGCAGCATTGGTAATTTTTAGTTTAGTTGAAGCCCACACCTTTACAGTTGCTATATGAACATCACACACTACTTCTTGCACTGGAACAAAATGTTTGTTTTGTTTATAAATATTTATTACCCCATGTTGAAACTGGTGAAATACAACTTATCATACAGCTACTTTATGATTTCGCAACATATATAAAATAAAAGAAACAACCTAACTATTGACTGGGATTATATCATGCATTCAGTGAAAAAAGGCAGCAGTTCCAATTGCTTTTGTAAAAGCACTACCATTTTAATGAAATTCTAATTTCCTTACTGTACTCTAGATCCACATAATTGAAAACACAGAAAAAATAGACTATTTCTAAATCCTTTCAAAATCTAGCAAACATTAGTTTGACATTCTGATGAAATTGATAAATCTTGACTCATCTGCTACTCTAATTTGGGTGCTTTGGAAATGTCTTACCTACTGTATCCCATTAACGTCAATCAATGGATTATATAACATTACGACATGTCAGTGATCATTTCAATTCATCACAGACTTAATCACATGTTTTCTTTTTCTTTTTGTAAATTTAGGGAGATCTCAAATGTCTCTCTCTAAACTGGGAAAAGAAGTTAATCAAATAAAGTGGTATTGAGCATATCAATCATCTGGCCTCTTTGAGGGTCCATGCTGACTACCAGAGCACGTGTCATCATTCATTTTCAGCCAATTCACTTGATGAATAAACATCCCAGCAGAGTGTTTGGCACCCATTTTTCATTTACATAAATTTAAGGTGAAATATTCAAAGCCCACCTTTACCGCAAGACAGCCTTCAGTCCTTATGTTGTGACAACCACCTCCAATGACTGCTTTGCAAGGTGGGCTTATACATATACAGGCCTTATTTGATTGCTTACATACATATTTACAGTGTAACGTTAATTGCTTACTATAATGGCAAGATCTGATCCTACTCACAGTGATTGGCATGATTTCCCAAGACAAGCACTAATTTACATGTCATTTTTGTAATAATGCTGTGATTATGTACATTTGTCAAATGGCTATGAAATGCCTGTTGTCGCTAATTTGCTTCCATTCAGACTGCGGCCGAGATAGCATATGTATTCCTGCAATGCTAGTTTGTGCATATTCAGTATGTAACTAGGAACCTTTTGCAAGCACTGGTTTCTGTTGTCAGTAATTTGCATCACACCTAAATATACATCTATTCTATCTGCTATTGACAAATTAATAATCTCCACTTAATTTAGCATCAGCTTGAATGCAAAAATACAAATAATATTTATTTTTTACATAATTGTAAATATAATTGTCAAGGGGTTAGTTAAGGTTAGGGTGAGTTGTTTTGATTTAAAGTAGGTTTTAAAACATTATTTTGATTAAGCTTAGAATCACTTTGGTCATTGTTTGGTTTGAAAAAAATGCCTGCCATCTTTCTACATTGAAATGAATAAGGAACATTTGTTTCCTTAAATAACTGCGTAACTCGGTAAGTACAGGTTTGATTGACGTCTAATGTACTTTATGGATAATGAAAGATGATATTCTCTGAACTATATTACTGTGAACTATATATGAGGTTGTCATGATTTGCTGTAGTTAAACTTCTGACTTCGATATTGGTAGACTTTAGCAAAGATCTAGACAGCTTTGTGCTGTGACTAACATAATTTTAACTTTCAGTTAGGGGAGAAAATATAAAACAATAGTGAGCAGTCAAGAGAAAGTCAGACCTAATGTGAAGTGTGTTCTGTTAACAAAAATGAGACCACTCATGAAAGCAAGCACAGGGCTATAGTAGGTGGTAAAAATGACACCCACTGTATTTTCACTGCATCACTGTGTGCGATATGGACACCAGCTGCTTCAGAAATATTACGCAAAGTATATGTCGGTGGGGGATGGGGTAAAGGGCAGATCTGAATTTCAGACCGAGGCAGTCAGAGGAAGACTACAGAAAAGGCTGCAGTCAGATAGATCCCTTATTTGTTTATTACAGACCTGATGGAAAATAAGATACATTGAGAATGGCAATTTAATTTCAAATGGTTGTACAGAATTCTAGCTTGTGTTGCAGCAATAGCTCATTATTAACACCTGTCTGATAAAAAAAGAAGTGTTGAAATGCTTCTTTGAAACACACAGTACATTCAGAGGCTTTTTAACGAGTTAGCTGTCAAGACGATCAAAAACAGTACCACCAGGCAATTGCACATTTGCTGTCTTCAACATAACAGACTTTAGCATCTGTGCTTGAATCTATCCTCCTCTCAGTGCAACTGTTTATTAATTCTGACTTTACTGAACATGCTTACATCAGTGTGTGTAATATTTACAAGTTATGCCAACAATCACGGGGCATGGAAAACTAAAAGCGACAATATTACTTTCTGGGATGTCTGAAAATCACAGGATGGCTTCAACATTAATTGCCACAATGAGACCTATTTTGTGACTGGGTTTGCATGATTTAAAATAGTGTATGTCTTCAATTTGTGCATTAACACTTAGGCTTCATATTCATCTTAGATTCCTTATATTTCATGGCTTATTGACCTTGTCACATCCCCTAGTTTTTACATTATTTTGCTATGAGATGAAACTGACATTTTGTCACGCGGTCCAGAAAGCCTCCATGGAGGTTTTCAGTCTCCTGATTCATCTATGCATTACTGCTTCTAATAAATGAAAAGAAATGTCCTCAATCTCAAAGTCACCTCCGAGCTCTAATATAGCCGGTTTTGTAGATTGCATGCAAGCCTGTGCTTTTAGATTGGCAGGCTTTATTTTTAGTACTTGTTTTGAGGTAGTGAGTGGCTGTAAGGCACAAACTGGTTGTAGACTTGACTGAGACTCAAATTGTCATTTCGAAAGTGACAAGGTGCTGATTTGCCTGCCTGGCACTGAGCGATTGGACATCACTGTTGACAAATGGGCAGTGGAACAAAACTGGCAGGATGCTAGGGAAGACAAAATGCCTTCAGGCAGAGTTTTTTTCTCTATGTGTTATCACAGCTGGACGACAGCTAGTTAAAATTCTTGAATTTACTGATCTTATGTTGTTGGCTGTTGTTTCTGTGTTAAGTAACACCTGTTGCAAACATTTGCAAAATACTAAACATACTAAAATGGAAACTAAATTGATAAATAACCTTAAAATTTTAAGAAAAACTAACACAAAAATCTATAACTCAAAGATCGAGCAAGGATCATTTTCAAACTACAGTAATCCTAATCTGCACCTCCTTATTTATAGACAGGGACATATTAAAATGCAGGTATCACTCCAATAAGTGACATTTTCCATGGCTGAATCAGGCTGGTAGCCTACCCGACATGACTTTGGCAGACTGTGGTTTCTATCACATCACATCATCCTGTTGAGAGCTAATGCATTATTCAATCCCTGTATGGTTCGAGAGTAGAATAAGAGTAGGAGACCCATTCACACCCATTCGCCAAAGGTCCGATCAGATCCTGGTACCTACCCCACGTTTACAAAACAAATACTGCAGGCAGAATGTGACTAGGTATCCCTCCCAGGAAACCCTTACTGGATGTATTTTGAAGACTCATCTTGCAGTGGTAATGCATTTCCCCTGTCTCACCGTCTGCCTCTGCTCTTGCAAGAAAGCAATTTAATGAAAAAGGAAAAGGAGAAAACGTGTTGAATTTCAGCTGCCTCTGGGTCAAAACCAATCTCAGTTATTGTTGCAAATAATACTGAACTTATTGAATTAAAAGTGAAACTGCAGTTTGAACATATGTAAAATATAAACTGCACAACGGCATGTATTTTCTGTTACACTCTATCAATTAATGTAGGTGTTTATACATGGTTTCAGATTGTTACCTGAATGTTTTATTTATATGCATAATTGTTATTGATTTGTTGATTGATTGTTCAGATGACTGCTGAAATGGTGGCTGTAACTGCTTGTAGAGATCATTTCATAGTGAGACTAATGACACCACTATTAGCATTGTAGTAACTGGAAAAGAGATCACATACTCACAGGACAAGATCATATAGGTTTTCATTTTATATTGAAATAAATTTCATTAGTTGCCACACACATTGTTGTCTCGTCACCAGATAATAAGCAGCTGGACCTCTGCTTTAAAACTGAGGACATTAAATCCTCCTGACCCACAGCAGCTCACCTTAAACTTGTGAGCATGTTGTAGCAGAACAGCTCACACCTCCCATTAGGTGAGAGGTGAGGAACCAATTACCTGGAGATATGTCTCAGGGCCAAAAATATCATTGTCAGCTTGTCACAATGTGAGAAATGGGGGGGTTACAAATCGCAAGGTAACATGACAGATTGTGTTATCTTTTCGTTTTCTCTCCAGATCTGATAGAACAGATAGTAGGACCCACACAGTACACATGACATTATACTGTAACATCACTTAAGACTTCTGTGAAAACCTGTTGATCAATAAATGTTTAATACTTACTGTTCAGGTTAGTCACTTCACTGGAAAGTATGAGTCAGTTAGATGGGATGCAACTTCTTGCTCAAGAGAACTACAGCAGGATGGATTCTTGACAACAAGGTGAAAGGTACTTCAGTCTCTTTACACCACATGATAATAGTTCCTCCCACTACATAATAGTACTTACTAGGGCTGTGATGAGAGGGGTGTCAGGTGAAATTCTGTCTCGCGAGACACATTTGACATTTTCCACACCCTCTCATGCCATACATTAATTTTGTCATGCAGCGAAAAACAAATGTATAAGTGATAACGTCAAGTCGCGGAACAGATAAGCTCCACCCGGCTGATGCAAAACCGCTGTACTTTGTGATAGTAATCAAGTGAATCAAGCTCTTGCGCTGTGAGTTGCAGCCAGCTTATGATAGAGTGGTAACGAAGCTGTTAGACTACTGCAATATAAACATCTAAAAACTAGACGTAAACTTGCTCTGTTTGGGACTGTGAGCTGCACTTTATCAGAGGTGGTAAAGTTAACGTGTGTGGATTTTGTGGTGAGATTTCTTCATGATGGTATTACATGAGAAATGGGGTGGCAGTAGCTCAGTCAGTAAGGACATGGCTTGGAAACCGGAGGGTTGCCCGGTTTCGAGTCTAGCTCGGACCAGAGTAATGGAGTGTGGACTGGTAGCTGGAGAGGTGCCACTTCTCATCCTGGGCACCGCCGAAGGTGGTCTTGAGCAAGCCCCTGAACCCCCAGCTGCTCAGGGCGCTGCACTGAGTGGCGGCCCAGTCACTCTGACATTTCTGTGTTGTTGCATGTGCGTGTGTGTATTTCAGACTGCGTGTATCTACACTAATAACAATAATAACACCAGAGTGAAAAAATATTGAATTTCCCCTTGTGGGATTAATAAAGTATATCTTCTTGAAGAAGTAGATATACTGAAGAAGAAGATATAATTTCTATCTTTCGCTTTTCTGTGACTCACTCTGAATGCAGTCTTTTGTCAGAGAGTGTTATTTGGGATGCTTTAAAGAGGTGGTATTATGCTCATTTTCAGGTTCAAAATTTTATTTGGGGGTTGTACCAGAACAAGTTTACATGGTTTCATTTTTAAAAAACACCATATTTTTCCTCATACTGCACATTGCTGCAGCTCCTCTTTTCACCCTATGTGTTGTACGCTCCGC